GAAAGGAAGGACAATATTGAACTAATGGATGACCAGACATTGGGTATGTTGTAATTAATGTTATGGAACAAAACTGAAAAAACTTCCAATATGCTTTGTAAAATTTCACCCAAGTCACAATAAAAAAGTTTTTAAAAATTGCTAAAGAGCAATGATGTCACTTTGAAGATTAAGGTGCACTCGACTCAAGGCATGACATTTTCAGTCACCTTATATCCACATTAAAATTAGGCAATGTATAAATAAGACTACAGAATAACTGATGCCTTTGAATTGTGGTGATGCCCAAGAATATGGACTATTCCCTGCACTGCTCGAAAACCACACTTACATCTTGCTCAAATACATCTTGAAATTAGTGAAGGCAGGATACTCCTTAGAAGCAAAGATGATGAGACCTTGATTCATTTTGGGAATGTTATCAGTAAAGGGCCAGTTTTTGGAGAAGGACATTGTGCTTGGTAAATTAGAGGGTCAGAGAAAAAGAGGAAGACCCTTAAAAGATAATTGACACGATGGCTTTTCATTGTGAACCTTTGGTTAAGCAGTCCAAAACATTACACATATGCCACCAGGTCTTTTCAACTTACTATGGTTACAGACAATATAAGTAGTATCCGACTCACAACAGATACTAAATTTTGTAATATACTGTTTAAAACATTGCTGTGTATGTTCTTATAGATAGGTGGCTGAGGCCTGGTCTGCAATGAAGTTGGTGTTGAGAGTCAAAATGGATAGAAGGTTGGACAATTTTTAACACTTATGACATATGACCATTGGATGTGCATGTGCCTGACAGCATTTCAGCTCCAGCCTCCTTGTAGCCCAGGCCTATAGTGTGATCTTTCCCAGTGTTTTGCACCATAAGAAGCACCAGTTATTATTTTAACGCAGAATTGTTTAAGTTTCTCTAACTATAACATCTGTACTGGTTTTATCTCCAACAATATATATTTTGTATGAGAAGTCATGCCATCGAAAGTTCTAATCCACAAAAGAAGATGAAGCGGATTCTAGACATGCATATAAACCTTTTTGGTGGTGACCTCCACATGCCACCATGCCTCTCACAAAAGATTTCCTTCATTCCTCTCCAGAAGAGAAGAAGAAGCACAAATAGCTGTGCCTGGTGCAGAGTCTGAATCCCTGTGTCATGGACGTGACATTCCCAGGATGCTATAAAATCACCACCATCTTCAGCCATGCACAAACAGTAGTTAGTTTTGTGTGTTGGCTGCTCCACTGTTCTCTGTCAGCCTATAGGAGGAAAAACAAGGCTCACAGAAGGCTGCTCCTTCAAACAGAAAAGCACGCTTATACAACATGCAGGAGAAATTTGTAAATTACTACCTAACTTGGGAAGGACTGAAGAGCATTATGCTGAGTGAGCTAACTCAGGTCACAGGACAAATATTGTATAAAACCATTATTGCAGAATGAGTATGAGGATCCAAGGAGGAAGGGGAGGGAGGTAGAGTGGTGAGGATCGGGGGTAGTTAAACGTAGGGGTTGCACAGTTCAACGGGTGGAGGGGGTGGTGGAAATGAGAAAGATCTTTTGTGAAAAACAATGGATTCAAACTTTGTAAATAAATCAGAGTAAAAGGAAAAAAGCATGGTAAGTCAAGATGAATGCGAAATTATCTCAATAAACAGAATTTTGGATAAAAATGCATACAGAAATGCATATAAAGATGACGACTATTAAGTCCTATCCTACTGCACCATTTTGACAATCTTTAAGGGTAAACACAGGATTTTTGAGACCTCTAGCGAAGACCAAAATGGATGTCAGAAGAGACTCTGAAATTTGCACTGGAGCGCAGAGAAGCCAAAGCACAAGGAAGAATTCAAGATACTAA